CCCCTGATTTGTAGCCAGGTTGGACAGAAGTGTGAAAATCTGGGGACCTGCTGATGCATTTGGCTTCTCAAACGGGGGCACGTAACCTGTGGAGTGTACACTAACCCTAGAACTGAATTAAATAGTAGGACTCACAGCTGGTATCTCAGAGAATTGGAGAACTGGTTGGTGTGGAAAAAAACAAACATTTGATACCAGAAATGTTTTGAGTATCAAAAGAGTTGTTCTTTTAGGGAAAATACCCCATCACTTTTACAGGTCTAAGGTAGATTCACAAATTGAGCTCCAGTAATTTGTGAGTAATTCTGCCTTGGAGTAATTCTGCCTCACCATCCAGGGGCTCTGGCCTCAGCCAATCCAGCCTTCCATCATCAGAGAAATTCATTAGCTGTGGGCTTTCAGAGAGTTGTGCAAATCCTTATCAGAAATCCATCCTGGGCAGGAGGAGAAGGGGAAAGATAGGTGCCTGGGTCTTTCCAAACCCTCTTCCAGGAGCAGGGCTCAGCGCCCCCTTGGGCGTACCCCCGGGGAGGACAGGGACATAGGCTCAGCCGCTTGGACAGCCTTCCTGCTCTTCCCTGCAGGGAAGGAGCTCTCCCTCCCAAGATGCTGAGAACTCACAGCCCTGCTCAGGGCACAGCAGCATTCCTGAATGTCCTGGAAGGAAGTGGAGTTCGAATTACTGTACCCTGACCTCCCACGCTCCTCTTGTGCAGTTTGTCCCGGGCGTCTCCCAGGGGTGCCCTCGCTGGTGCCCGTGCTCTGCCCCCACTTGGCCTGGCCTGGGAAGCAGGTTTATTTCTTCCCTCCCTGGGCCTAGGTAGTGTCCTGAGAAGTCCTGCTTGTTTTTCCCAAGCAAACCCCCAGGGATTCTCCTCCCATGCCTGGGGCCTCCCAGATTGGAGGATGAAGGAGTGCTCCCTCCTCCCCCTTTTCTGACTGAATCTCCTCCTACTGGGTCGCCACTCCTGTTCTGACATGAAATCCCTGCCTCCTTCATGCAGCCCCTCAAAGAGGCAAGGGAGATGTTTGAATTGGGTGACATACTTTCTTTTCTTTTATTGAATTATTTCCAGCTGGATAAAGTTAGTAAAAATTCAAAAGAGAATACAACAAAATATATTTAGTAATTTTTTTCTAATGAATCAATTTTGGAGTTTGTATACAAAAGAGAATAAAACAAGGAACATTGAACTGCAGGTTAATACATAACTCAATAACTAAAAGATCATAGTTCAAATGGCAAAGATGTCCTCATTAAAAAATAAAATAAGAACCTGGCTGGGGTGGCTCAGTGGTTGAGTGTTGACCCATGCACCAAGAGGTCACCAGTTCAATTCCCGGTCAGGGCACATGCCCAGGTTTTGGGACAAATACCCAGTAGGGGGGCATGCAGAAGGCGGCCCATCCATGTTCTCTCTCATCAATGTTTCTATCTCTCTCTCCCTCAATCTCTAAAATCAATAAAGAAAAAAATAAAAATGTAAACTAAAATACACATGCACTCTCGTGATTCTTCATCATAGGTGTTTCCTCTGTGAGTCATGCCTCCCCTGCAGGGTACATGCCATAGGTGTGGCTCACAGGTGAGTCTGTACACAGTAGAAGGAGCTGTAAAAATCTGAAGTGAGGTGTAAATTGATAAGCTACTCAAATATGCCAAATCAAGTATGTCAACTAAAAAGCTCACAAATATTTACTGTGGGTTTTATTTAAAATGCCCAGCAAGCCCTAGCCAGTTTGGCTCAGCAGTTAAGCGTCAGCCTGTGGACCAGAGAGTCCCGGGTTCGGGTCCTGCTAGGGGCACGTACCACAAAAAAATAAATAAATAAATAAATAAAATGCCCAGCATCCTTCTGCAATAATTATTTCAACCCAGGAGGCCTCACAGGTCTTTCTTTTGCAGAAATGACCGTCATGTCTGTAGTGTGAACCCTTACTTCAAGGGTACTGTGAATACACACAGACCAGTATTAAGTCCTCATGAAAAATCACTCTCAATTCTTTTCTGTGGAGTCCCTCCCGCAGCAGCTCGGAGGGCAGTGTAAACTGCAACCATATTTAGTGAAGCCAGAGCCAGGCCCCTCCGGCTGAGCAGGTGGCCTGCTGGCCGGCTCGCAGCCTCGCCCTGCGCCTGCCAGATGTCGGCAGGAACTCAGTGTACGACTTCTCTGAGGCCGCAATCTGGAGGAGATTCTGATCATTTTTTCCACCACTTAAAATAATACCGCTCAGTGCATTCTCCAATGGAATTTCTGGTCTATTTAAAAATAGCAACAAAACCCCACCGCTTCTCACTTTAAAAAGGGAACACCCAGTAAATATAATATTTTTATCTCCTCTGTCAGTCAAGTTCTTTGCCAAACATTGCTTCAAACCCTTTGTGAAACTAAGTATAAATAAGTAAATAAGATGGGGCCCCACCAGGTGCAGTACAGGCAGTCACCTTCCCAGCTCCAGCGAAGACGCCCCTGGGTGTGAGCAGGTGTGGGCGACGGGACCAAAAAAGCCCCGGCAACTGTGGGCCTCTGCTGGGACGCTTAGTATTTGTCTCATGAGCCTTCTGGATTTGCAGCTCTGAGAAGCCAGCCCCCAATCTAAATGCAGCCTCCCTGGGGTAGGGACACCTTGGCCCTCCACAGCCTGTGCTGACAGGGAATGGGCACTCCGTCCTCCCAGCGGAGGTGCAATGGCCCTGAGCCAGTGGCCTCCGTCCTGTCCAGGGCCAGCCTTCAACTCTGAGTAGGAGCAAAAGGCAATGAGAGAGACACCTCTCAACGTTCCCCCACCCAGAAGTCGGGATCCTCATCCAGGTGCCTTGACACTAGACGTGGGGCAGAGCCCTCCACGTAGGTGACTATCACACATACCGACTCCTGCTGCTAACTAGCAAACCAGGCAGACACCCTCATGGTTAAACCCGGAGAACTGCCCCTACGTACATAGGAGCAACCCAAGGTGTCCTCTGAGGGGTGACTGAGGAAGACCCAGAGCCCTAGTTCAGGAGCAGCACATTCTGGGAGCTCCCACGGGGCTCTCAGACCACCTGACATTGCAGTGGAGGAGTTTCCAATCTGCCAGATTTCAAACTAATTGCCTGATTGGAGAGAGGGGGGTGCTAGGAAACAAGCCCGGCTCGTGGATAAAGCACAGCTGACGTGCACGGACCTCATGCTTCCTGCTGAGCCTCACTCGAAGCTCAGTGCCGCTTGGCCACCAGGCGTGTTTGTCACATCTGGCCGACCTGTCCTGAGAAGAGACACTGCGGTGGCCGGGCCTTCACCATGGGTGGGGTGCGAACCGACAAGCCCAGCTCTTACGAAGCGCCCGACCGAAGCTTAAATAAAAAAACTTCCTCTAATAGACATTCAAATCAGAAAATAAAGATCATAGCACACATCAAGGAAGCGACTCCAGGGTGAGTAAAGACATTCTAGACAGCCGCTCAGCGGCAAAGGTAGCAAACAACAAGAAGTCTTCAAAAGACAGAAATCCATCTTCTGCAAGAGAGTATAATCGAAAACAGAGTGTGCTGGGCAGTGGGGAGTCACAGTGTCAGCTTCTTCCGAGATCCCGAGGCCAGGTGTGTTCACGGAACGATTGAGACGCACACACGTCAGTTTCAAAGGCCATTTCTCGGCCCCTGAAAATGGGTGTGCTGTGACATTAAGATCTTAAAACCAGACCCAAGATGTGACTCCAAGGCGTCTATGCTACAAAAAAATAGCTGAGGGAAGCATTCAGAGAAAAAACAGTCCAAGGTAGTAACAAAAAGTATCTTGAGGTAATGTGATTATCGGCGATTTTTATTTCCTTTCTTATACTGTTATACAATATTCAAATATTCTAGACCGAAAAGGCATTATCTTAATGACTAGAAATAAATTAGAATAATGTAAATCTCGGGCAGTGGTAGAAAACACTCGTGTGCTTTCCAGGAGTGGAACACCGGGACGAGAGAGCCTGGCGTTCACACCACTAACCTGCGGCGTGGCCCAGCCTCTCAGCAGGACCCGAGACCCCAGGAGGCTGCTGTGACGACCGGGACAGATGGAGCCGGTGTGACATTTTATTTTCCTCACCACACCCGTTTCCAAATGAAAGCTTCCTTGGGCTTGTGCACCTGGACACAGTGTTGAAAACGACCTTTTGATGGCTCTGCATCCTCATCTTCCGCTGTCATTGACTCTGCTCCGACCCAGCCAGGCCCCGGTGCAGGCTCTCCCAAACAGGGACAGGTGCGAGAGCCCGGCTCCCAGTGTCCTAACTCCATCTTCCTGACCATCACCCTGGCCAGGTGGAGAGCATGGACCTGGGCCATCCCCTGGGAGTTGCTGCGGCGAACTGAAGCGCTGAGACCTTGTTGCAGAATGCGTCAGGACTTTCGGGTTTGGGTTCTGCATTTGCATCTTGGGCCCTGAGTCCAGGCACTCTGTGTGTGACTCACCTGCCCGAGTCATGTCAAGGGGGCCGTGCAGGCGGTGTCTGAGTGAGGCAGGGGCCACAGTCTGAGGCCAGCTGCATCCACGCCTGCCGATGAATCGTGAGGAGAGAAGTGTCCTCACAGACGGAAGCTGGCCGCGTCCCCCAAGAGGAGACACGTGCAGAGTTCAGCACCAAACCTTAAAGTGCTAAAAGCAACACTGCTCTGTGAAAAGGTAGAAGTGTGTGCTTGGATAAACTCCAAGTACAGATGCCTCAAATACAATAAAGGACGGATCCGTGGGAAAACAGGGCCTGGTCTGCCTGGTCAATTCCTCGTCCTCGCTGTTCAACTCTCCGGAGAAGCCCCGGTGCACTGAGAAAACGGTGCAGAGTTCCGCAGCACGTCAGGCAGGAGCGTCCTTAGTTTTGGGACTTCCTCCTCCTGGGGTCAGTCACTGGAAGAGTGAAAGGGAACAACTAATCAAAGCTCCTCTGGAGGCAGGAAAACAGTCTGCAACCCTCATGAAGAGCAGAAACTGTGCCATAGATGTGCCGATGGTTCAGAAGCTGGGGCTTCACTTTGGAAGTTCGAACGTGTCATTGGCCCTGATGATTTTTGTTCTAAAGGAATCAAAGGACCTCTGGTCACTAAAGCTTTGGGCTTTGTACTTCGCATGGTGTGATGACCTTCTCTGATGTTCAAGACCCAATGTGTCTCTTCCTGCCCTGGAGATGTCCGGGAGCCCTTCCTGGGCCGGGGCACTGGGCATCCGGCAGTCCCCAGGCTCGGGCATGGGCACTGGGGAGCCCGGTGCTGGCTCAGGGCGGGAGGCCATGTAGCTCTTGGTCACCTCAGGGTGGTGTTCTCCCTCCTTCTGTGGCGCCCCCGGTGCACCCTGGCTGCCCGTGGGGGCTGATCTCTGGGACTTCCCACTTGCACCTGTGATCGGTGCCAGCACTGTTGAGTTGCCTGTGGGCTGTGCCAAGTTTTGGGGTGCCGTCCTGCTGGCCTGGGCCTGTGCCGGGCGCCCCTGCCTCTCTTCAGTGGGGACACCGTGTTGCTCTGAGGGATCCTCTACAGTCTGCACCCACTGCCCTGGTGGGTGTTCTGGACCCTTCTCAGCGTGTTGGTAGGGAGTCTTCACTTCAGTGGTCACGGTGTCACCTCCCTCCATGTCATCCCAGGGCTGTGTCTGAGCCTCTTCGGAGTCAAACAGCGCAGTTTTCTGGTTTGAAGGAGGGACTCCCTTCTGTCCAGGACCCTTCGACCCCACAGGCCCCGAGACCCCCTCCTCCCCACCCTCCATGCCTGCCTGTGCCTGTGCCCATGGCCTCTCTCCAGGCCTGATTTTCTCTGGGTCCGAAGGAGCTACTCCCTTCTGACCAGGACCCTTCGGCCCCACAGGCCCTGAGACCCCCTCCTCCCCACCCCCCAGGCCTGCCTGTGCCTGTGCCCATGGCCTCTCTCCAGGCCTGATTTTCTCTGGGTCCGAAGGAGCTACTCCCTTCTGACCAGGACCCTTCAACCCCACAGGCCCCGAGACCCCCTCCTCCCCACCCCCCAGGCCTGCCTGTGCCTGTGCCCAGGGCCCCTCTCCAGGCCTGATTTTCTCTGGGTCCGAAGGAGCTACTCCCTTCTGGCCAGGACCCCTCGGCCCCACAGGCCCCGAGACCCCCTCCTCCCCACCCCCCAGGCCTGCCTGTGCCCATGACCTCTCTCCAGGCCTGATTTTCTCTGGGTCCGAAGGAGCTACTCCCTTCTGACCAGGACCCTTCGGCCCCACAGGCCCCGAGACCCCCTCCTCCCCACCCCCCAGGCCTGCCTGTGCCTGTGCCCATGGCCTCTCTCCAGGCCTGATTTTCTCTGGGTCCGAAGGAGCTACTCCCTTCTGACCAGGACCCCTCGGCCCCACAGGCCCTGAGACCCCCTCCTCCCCACCCCTCAGGCCTGCCTGTGCCCATGGCCTCTCTCCAACCTCTGTTTCCTCCACGACAGCAGTCTGTGTACGGGACTGAATCAGCAGGTGTGCCTGGAGGTCAGGACACTTCTGGGGTGCCCCCTCTGCTACTGTGGATGACACTGAGGGAAACTGATGGGAAACCCCAGCACCGAGAGGAAGCTGCTTTTCAGACATGATGTGCTCCTTATCCTTGGCCTGTGGCTCCTCAGAAGACAGTGGTGGGCTGTCCACACTGTGGTGTGGAGGCCTCTCTACACCACCACCCTGCAGCGTGCGGTGATTTGAGGTGGGAACCGGGGACTTGGCGTTATTCCCCCAAGGACCTGCTCGCTCAGCCGCGGTATTTCTGCTTCCTGCTGTGGCACTGGCTGTGTTTGCTGCCGGTGCATTAGCCACCCCCAGCCCGGGTTCATCAGGCGCGAGTTGGGGGCCGGCGGCCTCCTGTGGGAGAGCGGTCAGCGATCCCAAAGTCACAGGCAGGTGCCGCCCCGAGTCTTCGCCAACGTGGCCCTCCGCTGCGCTGCTGCTGGGGCGCTTCACGGGCCCACTTGGTGCCGAGACGAGGTGTTGGTTGAGTTCATGACCGAGACCCTCTGCTACAAGCCTGGGAGCTGTTGGCAAGGAGCTGAAGTCTCCCTTGCACAAAGCGCTCCACTTTTCAGGGGTATCGTTTTCGGGGTTCACAGTGTTACCTGGTGCTGATGTTGTGTGACTCTTGGTGAACCCTGTGGTTGTCCCCTGTCTGGGGGTTTTGATACTTAGGTTGGGGCCTTCATTTAAAGAAGTTGGTCTGTCCTCACCACGGTCATGGCTGGCCATCAGTAGGGGCTGGGCGGACTCAGTCAGTGGTGCGCCCCTGTGTTCTTCTTGCTCACACAGGATGTTCTTATCCACTGTGGTCACACTCGTAGACCTCGTCCAATCCCTGACTGGGGCCACCAGCAGTGTTGGGATGCCTGTCCAGTCTCCCTCGCTGGGAGATGGCTCTTGCTGACCGCCAGGAGCAGAGCGACTGTCTCCTCCCGGACGAGTTTCCGAAGCTGTGGAGTCATGTGACGGGGTGCCCTCCTCGCGGACCCGCATTTCCTCCGAGGCTGGCAGCGGATGCCTCTCATAACTGAGCTCAGAAACACCCTGTCCTGAGACATCCTTATGGTTCTCAAGCGTGTTTGAATCCCCAAAGCTGCCTTGGTCTTCTTTTCCTCCAGGGGGACCTGTCTGTGGTTTCGGTGTCTGAGCTGCCTCTGGGATGGCACCATCCACGCTGGCCGCACCCCGCAGTGGTGCGAGACTTAGGCCTGCCGCGGAGTCCTGCTGGGGAGGAGTGCTGAGTCCCCCGGGCGTCCCCACAGCCTCGCTCACGCCCATCGCGGCCACGTTGGCACTTCTACTCTCTGTCACAGTGGGAAACAGCGCTTGTGCATTTCCAACCACACGCTCTCCTCCCGAAACCGGAGCAGGTTGGTCTGCACTGTCCGATGTCTTCTGCAGTGTGACAGGAAGGAGTGGCATTTCATGGACAACCGGAAGTCTGACCGTTACCTGCGGAGGCTCCAAGGCCAGCTGTGTGCACCGGGCAGCCTGGGCTGCAGGCACGTGGAGCGGGGGGATGTGTTCTGGTACTTTCTGTTCTGGGAAGCTCTTCTGAACAGCAAAGAGAGGGTCTTGCTCTGAGTCTGAACTCATTCTTTCTGTTTCCTCCTCTGAACTGCAAACCATCAGGTCCACCTGAGGAGCCTCCTCTGCTCCCTCACCTGTGGGTCCAGGGCAGACACCTGCTCCTGCCCTCTTTGATCCCTGGGTATCATCTGTGGAGCTCCCTGCCTGGGGGCCCCCCATCCTATCACCTCCCAACACCCCAGCGTGTCCTGGGCTGGCTGGTTCGAGTGAGGATAACTTGGGTTCCGGGCCAGGAAGGGGTTCACCGCCTTGGGAGGCAGCAGAGGAGGCTGGCTCGGGCATGCACTCAGGCCCTGCACGTGCCGACACTGTTGCCAGGCTGGGAACAGCGGCCTGCTGTATCAAGGATGGCGAGGGCCCTCCATTAAACAGCTCCTGTCCTGGTGTTTTGTTCCCACCAGGCACCGTCTCCTCTGCGGTGGGGGGCCTGCCTGCTTCTTTCGGGGGCACACGCCGCAGCTCTGAGTGTTTGAGTTTGGCGCAGTGCGACAGCCAGCTCCTGGGGCCACAGACAACGGTGGCAATGCTGAAGGCTGGCATGGGCTCTGCCGAGCAGGCCAGCAAGCGGGCAAGGGGCATCCTGATGCAAGTGCTGGCCAAGGTGGTCGTGCAGAGCACACGGGTCTCGGGCCGGTGCATTTTCTTCCTCTGCAGGTTCTTTTTCTTTCTGTCCTCTGTGTGGAGCAGCAGCACGCTGGCCTCTGAGCAAAGACAGCTGCTCTGTTCAAACTTCTCCCGCAGTTTGGATAGGACCGAGCCCTTCTTGCCCATGATCTTTGGCAGGAGGCCCCTGGCAGCTTTGGGCCGCTCTGCAGGAGACGTCTCACGAAGCCTCTTCTCCTCAGCCTCCTTCTCCTCTGCGGCCAAGAACTTCTTCAGAATGTTTTTCACGGTGTTTTTCCCGGAGGGGAGGCCCCACCGGGGCTTATCACTGCAGAAGGGCTCCTGGCCCCCTGCTGAATTGTCGGCCCCTTCCCTGGTCTTCTCCAGGAGCTTATTGATGGTGGCAGTGACCAAGCTCCTGCTTGGGCCTTGCTTGTCCTTAAAGATCAGCCTTCCCACCTCCCGAGTCTTCTTGAGGCAGTGCTCCCGGCCAGTGCCCATGAACTTGGCCCGCAGGAGCTGGAAATGTGTGAGCCGCCGGCTGGCGTCTTGGGGCTCCGGCTTCTGGCTCACCTGGCTCTCTGCCCCCTCAGCAGGAGGGGGCCCCTGCGGCCCGTCTTCATGGTGGGTGATGTAGAGCAGCAGGCTGCCGAGGATGGCGCGGACTGCTGGGTCGCAGGTCACCTTGCCGACCTTCTTCCTCAGGGCTTGGGCTTCAATGGACATCTTATTACTGCAAATCTTGACACTCCTGGGGCTGTAGGGGAAACAAGTCACCACAGATATTATTGTCGTTTTTTCCGAGGTGCTCCATACAACATTTCTTATGGGACAATTTCATTTCAGATTCCCAGGAAGCCCAGGACAAAGGACAGAAGAGTGGGAGCCAGGGACCTGTATTCCAGTGCCACTCCACTGCAGGGGGACCCATCACCTCTCGGGGTCACTCTTCCCGTTTCTGTTAACTGGTAATCATTGCGGACCTAATACTCTCCTAAGAGCTTTGGATAGTTGACATTAAATACTTTTGTAAAAGCATTTCGGAAAACTACTTTGCATGGGAAAGGTATTTAATGTTTTTATAATGGACAATATTATACTTGTATCAATGGGAAAAAAGCGAGCTTAAAGAATTTATATTCTCGCCCAGCCGGTGTGGCTCAGTGGTTGAAGGTCGACCCATGCACCAAGAGGTCACTTGTTCAATTCCAGGTCAGGGCACTTGCCCAGGTTGTGGGGGGTACGCAGAAGGTGGCCAATCGATGTTCTCTCTCATCGATGTTTCTATCTCTCCTTCTCCCTTCCTCTCTCTCTAAAAATCAATAAAGAAAAAATTTAAAAAAATATATATGATGTTAATAAAAAAAAAACATATTCTCTGCGGATCTGTGCATATCTCTAACTTTAAGTATGAGAAATGAAGTTAACATCACAGTTATATCCTGACTCAATCCCAAAGCGAGCCCCTGAGAGCGATCATAAGTACACCGGTCCTGGGTGGGTACAAGGAGTCTCAGCCTTGGGCGGGGGTCACTGGGGCAGAGCACCTGGGCAGTGGATGGGGAGCCCTGGAGCAGGAGGGAGGGGGCTCTGCTCCAGAGTGAAGGGAGAGGGGCTGGGTCACCACTGGGGCCTGTCTTCCTGAACCCTTTTGAGAATGCTCCCAGAGAAACCCTGAAGCTGAGGCCAGCCTAAGACATTAGCCCACGTCATTCTCTCCCGATGAGACCCTTAGTGGCAAGGATGCCACCATCCTTCACCTCAGCCCAGCCACTGACAGGCTGTACCTCGAAGCTCTCTTGGGGTTGGGTGGGGTTTCTGATATATGATCAGATTTCTCATCCAGGTTGAGAGGCTCTGTTCTGAGTGGCTGGCACCCAGGGGTACATCTGTTACTACACTGTCAAGCCAGAGTGTCCTTCCTGGTGGGGCAGAACCACCTCCGGGCTCTCCATGTGGTCCTTTTGCAAAGTTGGACCCAGAATTACAGCCTAGCCATTACACGTTCTAATAATTCATTCCAAGGAGATGATCAGGATGTAGGGCAGAGATTATGTACTGCATGGAAAGTCTTCACAGCCAGTTATATTATTAAAAATTTGGAAATATCCTAAATGTCTAATACCTGCTACTTAAATAACAGCACGTCCGTGTTTATGGGGAAATAATTTGATGCAGGAACGTGCTCGTGATGCAGTTGGAAGTGCATGCTGCAAAACTGCATGTTGACTGGCCCGGCTGTGTTTTTAAGAAACTGCACAGACACACAGAGACCGCCGCCCTTCCCCTCGATAGCCCAACCCCCAGGACACAGATGATTGATCCCATGGCAATCTGACCCCGCCCACTGGGTGAGCCCACACATCACCCAGTGCCTGGGAATCCATCCCAATACAGAGCATTTCGAGAGGGTGGCAAAAGTAACTTTGGAGTTCTGCCTCCTTTGGCTCCCTGACAACCTCAAGTTCACCTCCAGGCAGTGGATTCACACAGAAAGTAACTGCTTCAGTTATTCTCGGACACTAGAGGTCCTCAGATCACGGAGAGGACACGTTAAACCCAGAGGGCTGGGTAGCCCCAATTTCTGATTCAGTGTGTCTTTGGGGGCCAAGAACTCGCCTTTCAAACAAGTTCCCTGAGTGGCCAATGCTGCTGCCCAGGGACCCCAGTGTGAGAACCACTGGCATAGATTGAGATCTTTCCCAACCTCAGACAGCTGTGGATTTGGAGAACCAAAGCGGTGGATTAGGCTTCTAAAACAGAACCAGCATCTGAAGCCATTCCTAAGCCACGGCGTGGTGCTGGCCAGCTCGGCCCGGGAATAACAACTGCACAGCAACCCCAGGCCGCACGGCGCCCTCCAGCACCAGCAAGGCTGAGCGGCTGGGTGATCACAGACCTGGCAGGAGGAGCGAGCCCACCCAGGAAGGTACCAGGCTATGTTCTCGAAACTGGTAAGCCCTCCCAGACCACTCACGGGTCCTGGACCAGCGATGGGGATTAGGGGAGACAGAAGAGCAGTCTGATTTCGATGCTGTTGTGTCAGCCTTTGGGGCCGCGTGCTCTGTTTGAGAAGCGGGCCTCACGCCTCGTCTCTCTGTGGCACCTGCATCACACCGCTCTGTTTCCCTGAATCCCCAGGTGGTCTAAGTGACAGCCTCTCTCCCTTAGGATTAGGTCCGAGAGGGCAGGCTGTCCGCAGCCAACACCAGAATCTCAGTGGTCCGATCCAAAGTATTTCAGGGGCTTCCTCCAGAGCCCTCAATATATCTCTCCCAAACCTACAAAGGCAGCCTGAAAGAGACCTGGCCCAGGACCCCTTAGGGATGGGAGGAGGTGGGGGCTGTTTCTCATGGCTGAGTGCTGAGGTGCGGGGGGAAAGCCCTGCTCAACACGGGTGCTCCATCCATGATCTGAGAGTTGTCACATTTCACATCTCAGAAATAAGATGAGCGTAGTGATCGGTGGCATCATGACCTGGTAGGTAGCTTGATTGGCTGGTGGCGTTTTGTGCTTCCCAGAGGCACATGGACAGTGGGCCTCTCTGGGCTGACTCAGCGGAATTCGTGAGGATGCTCTGTCATTCACTGCTTCTGGGCTTGTTTGCAGTGCCTGCGGGTGAGCGCTTCTGCCACTCACCCGGGCTTAGCTCCCTGTGTCTCGTCATCTCCTAGGGGTGGTTGTACCCCTCCCACATCTGGGAAGCTGAACCTGGGGACAGTGACTTGTTGAGGATCACAGGGCTAAGTGCAGAACTGGGATGTGGTCGCTGTCAGCTTCATGGAATTGTGGGGATCGCCCCTGGGGACTGTCCAGATCTCAGTGACTGGCAGGACACCTGAGGTCTCACAGGTACACCACACATGGCTGAAATTCAACCCCGTTCACACCCCAAATCTCTTCCCATTTTTTCTGCCTTGGCAGATGGCACCTCCCACCCCACAGAGTCACCCTTGGCTCCCACACCCCACAGCCACTCGTGGCTGAGCTCTGCAATCCTATGGCCTTGTTCCGGCTCCGCTCTTGCCTGCTCCTTTCTCTGAATCGGCCCGTGAAGGCTGCATCCAGACAGTGGTTTTTAGAGTTGAGTGTGAATGTCTCAGCGAGGCCCTTGGGACCCAAGCTTCTCCTTGTGCTAACTCCTTCTCCTTCATTGAACCTGCACAGCTCTGCCCCGCCCGCTCCCAAGTGCAGCTCTACCCCCACCTTCCTTCATCCTTGCTTAGGCCTCCGCGTAAAAGCCACCGCTCAAGGGGATCCTTCCTGTCCACGGAAGGTTTCTTTGCAGCACGCATCACAGTCCAGCTGAATTCCTGACCTAATTAATATCTGTCTCTGCTGTATTACGTGAGCCTCTTCACACAGGATCAAACACGCAGCTCAGTGCCTGCACATGGCCGGTCCTCAGTCAGCGCTTGTGGACTGAATCACGCACCTGCATCTAAGCAACGTGCCGCTTCCTGCATCATCATTGGCTTTTATCAACCAGCCTCTCATGCTGCTGGTGACGAACGGAGAGGCCAGCTGAACGGGACGGGTTACAGCAGCAGAGACAGTGAATTCGGCACCAGAGTCTGCCGTCGTCACATCACGTGGGACCCCACTTTCCAGGAGGGGCCTAGAAGCAGCCTGGCCCGGTCCTTGGTAGGAATAAGCTTCCAGAACTCCCTAGTCACATTGCCGGACGGATACCCAGCTTGGAGTCATTTGCTCACTTGGTCATTTCAATCATCTTTATGACTTCGCTGGTTGAGTCATTCAGAGAACTGACAACGTGCTTTGGGGACATTTAGCTGTCTTAATAAAGGCCACAAGGATTAGCCACGTATGAGGTCATCCGCCACTTCATGTACCTTGTCAACAGGCCCCTGAGTTCCACAGTCTAAACAGAAAGATGAAGAATGGAGCTGACATCAAATTCCTGTCCACCTCCTGTCTTGATAGGAGGCGAATCGGAGAGTCTGTGAAGCTCAATGTTGATTTTATGTTACTCTGTCGTCAGTCTGCGGTACCTCTTAGTAACCGGACGCCACCTTGCACACGCTCCGAGCGTGGTTTCGATGCTGAACATCTGTGTGTTCTGGGAAGCGCAGTGGTGCACCTTCATGACGACGGCGACTTGCCATAATGACAGCGTATGTTATCGGGACGAGACTCATCCTACAGCACTTTAGCTGTTCCAGCCAGCTGAGTGCTTCCACGTCACGTGTGAGTTTGTGAGCCAGTTATGAAGTTCACTGTGTTTTCTAAACATTGTTCTGCATCCCAATAACAGCCACCAAAAACTCAATGTCACAGAGACGCTCCAAGCCGCCCCAGGTATACATGACAACTGGCTTTTACCTATCAGCCCACGGGTAGAGTTTCAAAACATTCCGAAACGCTTTCACAATCATCTAAGAAGTGTTTTTACTCTTAGAGAAGGTCAGGATGCTTTGCTAAGGTTTATGGGCCAAGGAATAGGAGATTAACCAGGACCATAAAGTTCTTTTTTGGGTGAGCCCTGCCTTGCCAAGCCTGCCTTGCCCATGAGCCGGTGACACATGGAGTGTATGAGATGTAGGACAATATCCTGGGACTGTGATAAGAGAAGGGACATGGCACCTCCTTCAATAAGCCATTTGTGTTTAACAACCACTATGAACTGAACAATGACCCTCGAGGTCAGCCTGCCTTTCTCCTATGACTGTTTCTCCTGCTGGTCTCCGGGGGCCACCCGTGTGCCA